AAAGTTAAAAAAAAAAAAAAAGATGATACGTAAGCAAAAGACTGCTGTGAATCTGCAGGAAACACCTGGTTCACCGGGCAGCAACTCAGCAAGTCCAGCAGGGAGGGCAGGTGCCCGGGATGCTTGCTTTCTGTCCCGATGACTGACAGGGTCGGTCTGGTTTCTGGGCCTGCAAAACCCCTCTTCCCAGGTCTGCCCCCCTGACCCCAGGCACAGGCTGGGGTCAGATGGACAGTGGGATCAAACACCCAGGACTCATGTGAGTGCTGCAGTTCTGACAGGCTAGAGGAGGGCCAGGCTAAGTTCCTGGGAAGTCACAATGTTAAAAGTCCATTAAAAAGAACCAAACGTGTTCCTTTTAGGCGCTTAGGAAGCTTAAGCAACTAAAAGCAAGCAACTGTGCATTAGCTTAAACCACGTTAATGAACAGCTGAGGGCGTGTGGGCTGGGAAGATGTTATGTAAGCAAGACTGCTGCGAATCTGCAGGAAACACCGAAAAAGCCTCGGAGAGAAAAAGGGGGGACGAAGTGTGATCGCTGTTACTAGGTAGGGGCCACCCAAGGAGAGAGCACGGTGTTCAAACCTTCTGACCCCCAACTGTAGCGCCATTTAAACTTTTCTCCCCGCGTCCAGTCCCTTCGTGAACATCTGCCCCAATCTGCCTCGCCAACCCCGTTCTCACCTTCGTGGGTTCCTCAGGAAATGCTTCTGGAGGAAACTTAAATCCTAACTTGTGACAAAACCCGGAGAAAACCCAAGTCACAGAATTCATGGAATAAAACGGTGCAATCTTGAAAAAAAAAACGAGCTCAAGGTAAATTTAATAGATGGAATATGTCCTCAGTCTCTCCTCCAGGAGGCTAGTCAGAAGAGGAAGGCTGGCTTGAAGCTGAGCATCGCAGAGTAAACACGCCGGGAAAATGCATTTATTTGTCTTAAGGGTCTTCTCGCCACTTTGAATGTTGATATTCTTGTTAAATTTTAACTTTCCCAGCGGCAGCAGAAGTGATAGGAGATGCCGAGTTTCCGGGCTCTTAGGTGGACACAAAGAACTGGCTCATTCTTCCTTGTAATCAAAGGGTCTGACTTTCCTACACACGGGATACAAAATGCCCCCCACCCCCAAACCATCATGAACCAACCGACACTGAAGGCTTCCATACAGAAGACGTGCAACAGCAAACTACTTTCTATCTGTACGTGCTCCTTTTATTTTTCCAACAGTTTACAATATTTCTACGGGGTGCACGTTACACCTTACAGGTTCTGATTTCCTGACAGTAAGGAAGGTATACCGAAACCAGGTATTTGAACGTTCTTACTTCGTCACCTAAACTTCTCCAGTTTTGATGAAAATTGAAGAGATCTGAGGTTGCTTCTAGGGATATTACATGTTTTGGAAAGACCAAGTAGCATTCACTAAGTGAAAAACTCATTTCTTTTATTAAAGTGCACTTTTGCTTGAATCACGATATTGATAAGAAGTTACACTTAGACAATCCTGTATGGAGAAGCAAGCACTCTCCATCCCTGTGTTTAGAAAAGGCTGCTGAGAACGTCGCAGGGGGGACTCTAGCACCAGGTAAGGGTGGACTAGATTGGGGACTGGTGAACCATGGCCTGATGGCCAAATCTGGCACACTGGGCTTGCACAGCCCTAGAGCTATTTAGAATGGCTTTTACATTTTGAAATAGCTGGGGAAAAAAATCAAAAGTAGAATATTTTGTGACATGTGAAAATTATATGAAATTCAAATTTCAGTGTCCATCAGTCAGGTTTTACTGGAACGCAGCCATGCTCATTTATGTACCTTCCGTGGCTGCTTCTGTGCTGTAGCGGCAGAGCTGAATAGTTTCAGAGACAACGTGCAAAGCCTAAAATATTTTACCCTCTGGCTCTTCACTGAAAAAAAAAGTTTGCCAATCCCAGGCTGGGGGATCTCTAAGGCCCCTTTCACCTCCAAATTCCTAAGAACTTAACTTCCTTAGATAAGCTGGAATCCTCCATCAAAGATAATGTACAGAACACACGTTAGCCTGCTAACATAATGATCCCAAAAGAACTGTTTGTTTTGTGCTGTCAACGTTTCCCATAGAGCACGTAAAATACCCACTGACTCAGAACATACTATCAGCTTCACAGATATCACTTTTAAAGGTAGGCTCTTGGTTCTAGAAGGCAATGTTTATGATTTTTAGCAATTTTCCCCTATTAACAGGTTTAATAGACCATCTGAAAAATTACCAAGTAGAATGAAAATGAAAAAACCCAACTCTCCTAGGAATTCATGCCATAAAACATTTATTAATAAGTAAAATGATTTTCCCCTGCCTTTGGCTATTAAAAGATTTGATGGGGTGTCTTTGTTGATACCAATTGCCAACAACGGTTTTACATTTTTCAGTCATGAGATAGACAGAGATACAGACAGGTGATAGAAAAGGTAGACAGATCATAGACAGATGACCACAGATACAGATATAAATATGTGTAAAAGACCATACCTTACAACCATTTAATTACAAATCTTGGTTTTGCTAGCAGTTGGAAATTAACTTCAACTTACTTCTTGTAAGGGAACAATACACAAATAAATTCACTTGAATTTCATAATTCAGAAGACTGGTAATGAATACAGTGCTTGTTGAGGACTAAAAGAGAGAGGAAAACAAGAACTAACTTTGTGGGGAAGAAAGGCAATATCTCTTTGAAAAGCTCTTCTCAACTTGATAGTCTCTCTTGCCTGAAAAACAAGACATTTTGATAACGACAGTATAAAAAGCCTATGATTTGCAAAGTAAATCGAATCTGTGGTTTAAATTTCATCCCAAGTCTCAGATTTTGGCTGAGGAGCGATATTAAGTCTCTCTCTCTCTGCAAGTGTTTCTTTGAGCTTTTCTAGGGAAGACAAGAAAATGTTTTATCAGATCTAGGCAGAAAGGCTGACGTTCATTTATAACAACAGTAATTACCGGCACTCAGTACTATATGGACACGGAGGTCTGAACGCCGAACAGAGTGAAATGCCAAGCCACACCACACAGCAAAATTAAGAGTCATTTGGAGAAGGGGCAGGTGACAGTTTATGATTTCAATATGAAAACACTTTATTACTCTTCTCAGATGTCAATGTAAAGTCAGAAATTTAAAAGATACAATCGAGACGGGGCCGAACGGTTTTATTGCTACACCATCACTCTACTTTAAGATTAAAATAACCCCCGAGTTCTGAAATGTCATCAGTTAAGTAACTATACAATTTCTTTCAGCCTCTTTTTAACGTAGGAAGTCACTTTGTAATAAGATCTCTACACAAGGTAAAAAAGCACAAAATAGACCCCAAAAAAAGCACACAAAAATAGACAATATATATATATCTTTTTACAATGAATTAAGATGTGTCTGGGAAATACTGAGATCAAGGACTAACCTCAGAGTCCAGATTGGTTTCCTTTTATAAGAACTGTGCTCTTTACGTCCCCCCCCCTAAAACTTTGGATGCTTATTAGAAACTGGCCCAGGTAAAAGGGAGGGAACAACCGTTCTGATCTTGTACCAATACAATAAAAAATAAAACAGAAGTAACAGTAACAAAATAATAAAAACACTTAATCAGTTTACAAAATTCCTCTGACAGCCACACCTCAAGGGCACTTAAGGGCTCACATGTGTCACACAACCACTGGCGACCACACAGGCATCTCCAGGGGATGCTCCTCTCCATCATAGATCAATCATGCACTGGGATGAAACATGTCCAGAAACGCTAATTTGGAGAAAGATGTTTTCATACAGTTTGGGGGCAAAGCAAGCCATCCAACAGAATTGTGCCACAAACACCAGTGATACGCTGGGACTTCCACGTTGAGAATCCTTCCCAAGCCCACAGCTTCTGCCTTCCTCTGTCTGGTACAGGACCCCGGCCTCACCTTGCGTTACACAGTCACGGCTGGGTACGTCTTCTGTTCGCTGTTAGTGTGAGGGAAGGGGGCCTGGATCTGCCTGTAGCCCGTCTGCAGCCCGTCCAGGAACGGCGGCACCGGGGTCATAGGCACCGAGTCGTGCTGCACCGTGTACCCCACGAAGGGGGGATGCAGGTACTGCCCCTGGTGGGGCACAATCTGGGTGGCCTGCTGACAGTTGAGCACGGAGAAGTTTGTGGGCATGTTGACGTACACGTTGTTCATGGTGCCCTCGGGCAAACAACAGTTGGTCTGTGACCTGGTCGGGGGCCCCCGGGCCCCTGAGTTGGCGCTGGAGCTGGAGCTGGCGGCCGTGCTGGACTGGCGGGAAGAGGAACCTCGGGAGGTGCTGGCGCTGGGGATCATGGGGATGGTCTCCACCATGCGGGGCCCCCCCGGGGCCCGGCTCTGCTGGGGCTCCTGCTTGGGCCGCAGGCATCTGCAGCAGCAGGCGGCCACCAGGGACCCCAAGATGATGAAGGCGACAAACACCGACCCGACGATAAGGAAGGGCACATAGATGGGGACTGAAGAAAAGGAGAGAGACATACTGTGATGACTTCCTGTAAGGATGCAGTAAAAATCGGGGATGGGCAGCGGAGATGGATAAATGAACGACGCCGGTACCCAGAAGCCAGGAACCTGGGCCGGGCCGGTGTGTGCGCTTATCGGCCGCACACAGGAAGCACCGTCCTTTATCAAGTGCTTAGGGATGGCGGGGTGGTGGGGGGCGCAGTAGGGTCTCCCTACAGGCAGCGGGGATCAGCCCCCAAAGCAAAGCTGTTAACACTGACAGCTAGACTCACCAACTGCAATGCTCATGGAGGCAAATACCCAATTTAGCAAAAATATGAGTTTAACGGTTTAAGACTGTTCTAAAATCCCTAGAGTAACGGAACTGCCCACATTTCAGTCTACCCTAACAGTTTGTAGGGTCTGCACAGAAATGAGTTGAAATTATTTCAAAGTCTTTTCTCCCCCCAGAAAATTATTTACATTTCTCGTAAACCTCTTTGACCTTTTTTTCGCAGGTTCTTGTTTCATAGGCACATAAATCAAAAATTTAGGGCAGACCCTAGTCACAGCCATTTCCGAAAAGAGTCTGTAAGGTACAGAGGTCAAAGACGGGTTTTAAAAACAAGACAAAACAAAACAAAAAAAGCTCCGCAACAGGAGAGGCCACAACAGTGAAAGGCCCACGTACCGGAAAAAAAAAAAAAAAAGCCCTCC